CGGCCACTGGTGTGCTAAATCACCACACTGCAACAGAGCACAAACAGAGGAAAATGGAGGCTTTTACCTCTCCTTATCATCTCAAAACATCAAAGGAGTGGCACTCTTGGATCCAAAACCACCAATCAAACATTTTCAATCCATGATGGCCAAAAATCCAAGTTGTACACTTTCAATAAATGCACAAAAACAAGATTCTAGACCACTACCTTATCGTGGATGATCAAAGGCAATGGAGACAAAGGAGATTGGCTTATTTTATCACTTCAAGTATGAAATGGACCAATCTTCCTTGTGTTCAATATAACGTCCGATTAAACACATGCAATGCAAACATAACATGCTTATCTTGGTCATGTTTTACTTGTCCAATTCTTGTTTACTCATTTTACATTACCAAGTCATTCTTTAACCTATTAAGTCCAATGTCAGTCTCCTCTAATGAGAGAGGGGTCAACCAAAGGATGGTTTAAGACATAAGAGAGATCATGCCGTTAGTTAGTAGAAACTCTCAAAAGAGGATTAAAATCATTGAGCATAAGCTCTATCTCAAGCTTAAACACAACCTTAAGGCTAAACAAACCTCAAAACAAATGAAAAGTGAAGAAATGATGGAGGTTGCAGATATTTCAGTGCTGAAATGGCATGAAAAATGATATTACAACATACAAGCAACTCATGCACAACATGTTCAAACGCCAACAACACTAAACTAGTGAAGAGCATTACACTAGAGACATGTAACACAAAGCTCAAATGACCAAACTAGTTCTGGACAGAGTTAAAACATGCCAAAGCAGTGGCTAAAACATGCTGAGATTGAAGCACAAAAGGCTAGAAAAACATGCTCATGTGTTAGGCTACAAACAAGACTCAAGGCACAACTCTCAAAAGCAATGAAAGTGTGAAATTAGTGAGAGTGTGACAGAGCTATACACACTGAAATCACATGTTACATGATGTTACAACATGTAATCATCTCAAGCAAAACATGTTAGGGATCTTAAAACACTAAGCTAGTAAAGCCATTTGCACTACAACCATGCAAGACAAGGCTCATATGACCAAGAGAGGTCAAAATAGAGTTAAAGTAGGCCAAATCAGTAGCTAAAACATGCTGAGACCAAGTCACAAAAAGGTAAAAAAATATGCTCACATGTTAGGCTATCTACACTTGCAAACAAGACACAAGGAGAGGAGGCTACCCCCTCCTATTTTGGACCTCAAAACCAACACAAAAGGCTTCACAAGCCAAAGAGCAAAAAGAGGAGACAACCCTCTAACTCACCAAGACTTAAACCACCATTTTGAAACCTTAAAAACAGAGTTTTTTATGGTTGAAAAATCAGGTCAAAACAGTGTAAAAAGATAGCCAGGCAATTGATTAAAACAAAGCTTAAATGAGGTAAGCCTTATACCTTTGAAGCACAACACAAAATCAGTCACAATTCTGAGCTAAAACTAGCCTTAAGAGCTCAAACTAAGCCTCAAAGAACCTCAGCTCCAAGATGAGGATGTTTGGTCAAGGGTCTTAGTGAAAAAGTATAGAGAATTCTCACTTTCAAGCATAAAACAAGAAGAGAAAGAGAGAATTCTAGAGAGAGGGCAAAAAATTTGTTCCAAATTGTGTAACCTCTCAAAATGGGGGGGAGACCCCCCTTATATACAAAATCAAGCCAAAAGCTTGTATTCATCCCTCCATACACGTGTATGGAGATGAGCATCAGTGGACAACAGCAGGCACAACTGGCAAATAAATATCTGAAAAAGGAGAAAAATGGTCGTCGGCCACCTAAACCAGCCATCAATGTAGCTGATGGGCCATCAACATAGCCGACCAGCCACCACTGGTGGCCGGCAAGCACAAGTCATGGCTGGCGGGCTAAGGGGATGGCTGACAGGTCACCCTATCCTCCAGAAGTGAAACAACAAGCTCTTGGCCCACAACCAAGCACAAAACAGACAAGATTAGAGGCTCCAAGGCAAGACGCTCAGCCGAGACCTTCAGGGACTCAAAACGAACACGAGCGAGCACAATCATCAGATGTTCAAACGATGATATCCAAGTCTTGAGGACGGTCAAAAATGGGATGTCTACAGTTGCCCCTCTTTGACAGAACTCGGAAGTCATGAAATGACGTGAGTGAATGTCAAAGCCCAGAGACGACCCATTTTTGATAAGGCCGAAGACTTAGACAAACAAGCAATCAAAACGAAGAACGGTTGCACCCATAGGCTGCCTATGTATCCCTTTCCAAGGAATCAAACCGGCGTAGTTCTGGGGCAAAATGCAAATGACATGCATGATGCAAGAACATAACTTATGATCATGCAATGAGACTGTAACAAAACATCTAGATGCAAATGTTATGCAAAGAAATGCTACAGTAAACTCGTACAAAAGCAAGTTAACATGAACCAAACCACGTTTTATGTAGAAAGGATGTAAGAAAATTATGCAATCTTAACTACGCATTACGCAGAAAAGGCAAAGAACAACACGACTCTCGGGCGCACCCGAAGCATGAAACAACAACCTAACGCGTGGCACACGCGAGGAAAGAAGTGGAGCGACCCCAGGGACACACCCCAAGGTTCCGAGCCATAGAGAACACATGATAACAAATGAAACACATCCAAATATTATACAATCAAAGCAAAGAGTGGTATAAGCATTGGAATCCGTCCAAATGCATTTAACCAAAGCGTCCTGACGCGCTGCGCGCGAGACAGAAAAGAGAGCGGTGCAAACACCGGGGGGGTGGTATAAACATCAGAGCACGTTCTAATGTTTCTAACCAAAATAGAGTGGTACAAGTGTCGAAATATGTTCCAAACGCTTCTAACCGGAAGGATGGTATAAACACCGGGCACACAACCCAATGTTTCTAACCAACGGGGTGGTATAAGCGTCAGACACACGTCCCAAACGCTTCTAACCAAAGGGGTGGTATAAATATCGGGCACACAACCCAATGTTTCTAACCAACGAGGTGGTATAAGCGTCGGACACACGTCTCAAACGCTACTAACCAAAGGGGTGGTATAAACATCGGGCACATAACCCAATGTTTCTAACCAACGGAGTGGTATAAGCATCGGACCCACGTCCCAAATGCTTCTAACCAAAGGGGTGGTATAAACATCAGGCACACAACCCAATGTTTCTAACCAGAAGGTATAAACATTGGGCTTTGATTTGTGTCCAAGGACACAAATCAAAGCCAAAGAGACAGAGGAAGCTTGTGGAAGCCTGTCGGTTATCAGGGGAGGTCGCCGACCACCTGCCAGCCACTAGTGGCACCTGTCGGCCACCAATATACCAGTGCCAACCATCGATGGCAGATTTGGGCATTTTGGTCCTTTCACCCTTGGGTCTTTAAAAACAAGTGATGCCACTTCATTTCTTCATAAACCCATGTCCGAAATTCTTCTCCCTTGCTCTCCAGGTGCTCCTTCTCTCTAGATCCACGCATTCTACGCGTTTTCCAACACCCTAGAAACATTTTGTTCGCTAAAACCCTCTAGTTCTCTTCACTTTGAACCGATCAGAATTTGATTCTGACGCTTCTTTCCTCATTTCCACCATCCTAGGCTCATTCCCCTCGAGTTTCTTTCAAGGTTTGTGCACTTCCCGGGCTTTGACTTTCTTTGACTTTTTCCCCTCTTCTAGGGTTGACTTTTTCAAAGTTTCACCATTTTCCATCATTTTTGCTTCTCTTGCATCCATTTCAGATGGCGATGATGTCCCTCATGACGGGGCCCTCCCCGAGCTTCCTCCGGCAGAGTTTGAGGCAGACTTTATGGCCGAGCCGGAGCTATTACCGTTGAGCATACGTCTCTTCGACCCAACAAGGTATCATCCTGAGACTCACATCGTACCTACCGCGGGAGGCATCAAAGCCTTCACGGACTTTGCTGAGGATGTGCCAGATGACCTTCTACTGAGAGAGCCAGCATCTTATTTGTCGACTATCGCCGTAGAGGTACGAACTCTGCTTTTCTGCAGTACTACCCTTAACTGTTTGCATTTCTTGCACTGTTTTGATTTGATTGCATAGACTGCCTTGGTCTAACTGTATATTATACATTACTGCTTCATATTCAACTGTACTTTCATTGCTTGATCTGATTGCATTTCATGCTTTATCACAAGACAGATCCCACTCTTTCAGAGGCTACGGTACGACGACAGCTCGGGACTGGTACAACGAACTCCCAGCTAGAGTTCGTGACATTATTGACAAGACAAGCTTCGGTCTATTCTACTCTAGCCTGACGCGGGTCGTAGCGAGCCGCCCTCTCTTAAGGGCTTTAGTGGAGAGGTGGTAAGATACCACCAACTCCTTCCATTTCTCCACCACGGGGGAGATGACGATGACCCCTTACGACTTCGCCATGATCACCAGCTTGGGCATAGGGGGCGATCCGATCCCTTTCGACCCAGATATGGGAGAGTGGGAGGCAGCATGGGCCACAATGCTTGGGGCACACCCACCGACACTCCGGGCAGGTATGGTCCGATATAGCTAGTTTGAGGAGCAGTTCAGGGGGTCTGAGCTCGAGACGGCCGAGGAGACAGAGCAGTACGCCAGAGGCTTCCTATCTTCCTTTTCGGTACCACCTTGTTTTCGAATAGGTGGAATACCGTAGGCCTGTATCTGCTGAGCGCCTTGGTAGTACTCCAACGAGTTTTGTTTTATGACTGGGGCGGAGCTGGCCTCACCACTATGTATGGATACATGAGCTCGACTTCTCGCATGAGTGGAAGCCTGATAGGTGGCTACTGGCGGGCTTGGGAGGTACACAGCTTCGTTCCCCCTTTTTGCTTTACATTTTCTGCTTAGCATTTCTTGTTTTACATTTATTCAACACATGTACATTCTGCTTTGCACTTTCTGTATCTGCTCATACACTGCATGCTTTCTACCTTGCATTTTCTATATCTGCTTATACACTGTATTGATCACATTTTCCTTGCAGCTATGGGTTTACGCATACTTCCCGGCTCTTGCTCCAGAGCCTATAGAAAATACTCCTGCGACAGTCCCGTTTTCTCAGGTATACGACGAACAACTCCGACGTAGGACCCGGGAAAACTTCATGTTTTTTTGCGAGTACTTTGACGTGGTTGCGGCACCTGAGGTAACCCAAAACCAAGTTATTTTGATTTTCAATCAACTTGATGCACCAATGAGTTAATTGACAGCGACTAATCATCTGTTTATTCTCTTATTTTCAGATCACATGGCAGCCGTGGGACGTGATACCATTGGGGCTCTAATTCCAGTATGACACAGCTAGGGTCATCACTCGCCATCATGTCCTTCTCGAGGGCCCGATCTGCCGCACATGGTTCTTGGGCGAGCGTTTCGCGTGCTAGACGTTAGGACTGCCTGCCCCATTCATACCGATGGCACCTCCAATGTCCATAAGGGCGACGCACAGACTTTCTGCTGAGGAGGTGATCTAGTTCATGGTAGGACTAGATGCGGACTATTTTCGTGTAGAAGGCGATTATGCGACCTTCATCCAGACACATCTAATGCCGCCTCTTACTAGCGTTCGTGGAGGTGAGGGAGCAGGAGCTCCAGCTGTGAGAGAGAGAGGCAGAGAGGCTAAAGCGACCAGGACTCATGGCAGGAGAGATTCTCAGACGAGGCAGAGAGCGGGATGGCCAAAGCTGCCTACTTCACTGACTTGCTGGGGACGTTCTGGGGAGACCTATCAGATACCCATTGAGCCTGCACCAGTTAGTCACGAGCTTGTCGGAGTTCGAGGCTCGATTCCGGTATGTACCATACTTTACATTTTGCACATTCAATTCATTTCAGTTATGCTTTATAGACCACTGATCATCTCAACACATTTACAGGCATCCATAGAGTACACCGAGCAGGCTCTTGAGCTGGCGACTTCTCTGATGGGGATGGTACAGACGAGCATGAACCTGCTCAGCCTCTACAGGATTCCAATAACTTCCCTCAGTTTGCACTTCATGTCATCAAATTTTCTGCTGATACATTAGCACTTCAACTGTTCCACACTACACTGATCTGATACATTGCACTAAAACACACGTATAGATACACTGCTCCCATATACTGCATACATACACTGCATCGATACACTGTATCTGATATACATCGCAACTAATGTATTCTAACAAACTGCCCTTTTCAGATCCCTTTCCAGATCCCAACTCCACCGGATGTCCCAACAGGAGCCACAACAGGACCTTCGGTACCTCCTCCTACAACAAGGAGGAGAAGGAGACAAGCTCCGACACGTAGCCGAGGCAGAATTAGGGGCACCCGCGGCGAGAGTGGCCCTTCAGAGCCCATTCTAGGCGAGGATGATGATGAGACGAGCGAGGATGAGGGTGAGGCAACAAGCCTACAGTCAGAGTCATCTGAGGATGGAGACGACGATGCCGGCTCGGATTCTGCTAGTGGTGAGGCTGGAGAGACGGAGGAGGGCTCTGGTTCAAACTCTGATTCAGATTCAAACAGCGGTGCCGATGGAGATAGTGCCCCAGAGTCCGCTCCACCGAGGAAGAGAACGAAGAGAGCCTCTCGAGCTTGAGGCGGCTGGCGCCAATTTCGATGCTTTTTGCTTTGTTTTCTTTTTGCTAGTAGTGTTAGCACATTGTACAGCTTTAGGCATTTTTATTTTCTATGTAAAACTTGTACTCTTTTGCAAAAAAAAAAAAAAACCATGATTGGAATGAAAATTCAGCTTTTGGTTTAAAAAGTGTTACATTTTGCATTCTAAACATCGCATAGCATGAAAATGAGTGATTGATCTTTGTTAAAAAGAACGTATTCAGTTTTACCTTGTCTTAATCAAGTAGTGAACTGACCAACAACTGAAAGAACAAACAAAGTAAACAACTCGATAAACAACACAAAGACTTGATAGACTAATCAAATGTAAATACAACTCGATAAGCAAGACAGGAACTTGGTAAACAACATAAATACAACTCAATAAACAAAACCAAATGATTACAACTTAAACAAACATACTCAAGTCCACAAGGACCAAAACAAAACCTCAAGAGATATGAATAACAGAATTCCATTACAGAAAACAACTGAATCTTCACAAAGGAGGTCAGTGAGCCTAAAAGGGAGGCTGATGGCCATGAAGGATGGCCTGCCGGCCATCATTTCCCCTCTGCCGGCCATCAATGTGCCCCTGCCGGCCATTGATGAGCCTCTGTCAACCGTCAATAAGCCCTGCTGACCATCGATGAACAGAACCTCCGAAACGTTAACACTGGCCTCCACTTACTGCCTTTATCTTCTACAAAAGCTCCAGCTTCGTCGTTTCTTCATTCCAGCTCTATTTTTGCCCCAAATGGAGCCATTATTTGCCGAAAAACTCTCAAATTGGATTGCAATTTTAGATGGCTTGGAAAAGTTAAATTTTCGAGGTTTCGGGCTAAACGCACTATTCTCGCTTAGTCGTACCCCACTGTGTTTTCGTTCCTCCACGCCGTGGCTAGATGTTAGAACCCCGTTACGCATGTTTTCAGCTTTAGTGGACAAGAGATATATCCCACAATCGGAGAATTCCAAGCGTTGATGGAATCCTAGCGTAACGAGGAGATCTTGTCCCAGTCATGTTTCAGCCACATACAGGCTTTAGGAAGGATGTGTGGGCTCACTTTACACGATGTCCAGTCTCTGGACATTCCAAGCTTGATTCATCAGTTTTCTGATGCCGGCGACCGCGGTGACCGTCTTTGGCAAAGTTTTCGACAGCATGCCCTCTGCCTGTGTATGTTGGCCCATTTTCTACTTGCCCCTAGCTTCGGAGGGTCTAGCATTCGCTTGATCAAAGTTGCCCAAGGCTTAAAAGAGGGCAAGAGCTGCATTGGCTTGACACTAGCTGAGACTTTAATGGGTTTAGATGCTTTCCATCACCGGGAGACAACCAAGTTTGCAGGAAGTCCACTACTCTTGCAGGTAATGTTTCCCACCCTTCTCACATGTGTTTCTCACATCACTCGGCCTTCAGGCTCTGTTTTTCTCTTAAAACCCTTTTCTTACTTTTCTCTCCACGTACACCTCTCTATTCTTTAATCTCTCTTATTTTTCATCCCTTCCCATATATGGCTCATGGATAAGTTAAAAGTAGTGGACTCTTACTCAGCATATTTAGCGCGCGGCCATTTCTTTCGTCCACGCTAGTTAATTTTCCAAACGAGGGATGGTGGTGCCACTGGATGTGCAACAGATCTGCTGTTGACATTGCTTGGCGTTGCTCCTGGTTTGATCTACCTGAAATGAGCTACAGCATGTCCCGGCAGCCTGGCATTCAGTTGATTGGCTTGACACACTGTGTCTTCTACTTTCCATTCCCATTCAGGCGTCAGTTCAGACACGACCAGACTTGCCTAGAAGAGGGGGTAGAGTACCCGACTTCCTTTCCAATCTGAGGCTCACAACTAGATCGATACCCTATTACATGGAGGACAAGAGAACTTCTGGCTCCCGCTCCCAATTTCAGCTGTGCCCTTCTGGCGAATGCATAGCTTGGCTTGAAGATAAGGCACAAACCGGGCCTACTTTGGCATCTGAAACTTCCACAAGCTCTGGGAGGGGGCACAGGAACACCTGACTCAACCATGCCCCAAGTTTATTGCTTTAATCTGTACTTTCAAGTTTTCCTTTCGAATGTAATAAAAAGCAACTTCAATTTGTATCAAGAGTCGGAGAACTCTGTATTGAAATCAATGAAATTAAAGGTTGTGGGTACTGAAAATTTTCCGTTTGGTCCAAAAATGGTCTAAGTTGTAAAAGATTAATTTGAACAAAATCAACTTTTATTAAAACTTTTCAAAACCATTTTCAATAAGGATCACAACTGGACACACCTAGAAACTATCCTTGAGATGTACAACCCTGAATCCAATAACTGGAAAGTTACCCCTTGTCTGAATAACACTGCACTGGAGATTACAACCGAACTCTTGGATGCAGAAAAGACAAAGATGACCAGAACAATCTCATGGACACAGTTGATTTGGAAGTGTTTGTGGTTGGACTTCAGAATGAAATTGCCTACGTATCCCAAAGATGGGAATCAAGCCTTACGTAGTTCGGTTCAGGTCCGCTCGGGTATTAACACTCTCCTTTTGCGTTCTAACTTTTGCCAAGGCCACCCTTTCTGGGTTTTCAACCTTGCGAGCTTAGTTTTTCTTTTTTATAATTTTTTGTGCTCTAACCTTTGCCTAGGTCGCTTTTTCGGGTTTTCGGCCTAGCGAGCCACTCAAGGGTAATATTTCTTCAACTTTTCCATGTTGATTGGTTGGGAGAATTCAAGGCCATCTAAGTCTATAAGAACGATAGCTCCACCCAACTAGATTGACTTGATAATGTAAGGACCAATCCAATTAGGTCTGAACTTGACCCTAGGGTCGTGGATGGGAGCTCAGTTGTCTTTGAGCACCAAATCCCCTTCTTTCAGATTCCTGGACTTAACTTTCTTGTTGAAAGCCCTAGCAATCCTGCGTTGATAACTTCGGACATGGTACAGTGCTTTTAGTCTCCTCTCGTCGAACCGTATGAGTTCCTCGAACCTGCTCTGCTGCCAATCCGCTTTTGCTATCTGGCACTAAGCCATAACCCGCAGCGACGGAACTTCAACTTTAATCGGCAGAACAACCTCCATCCCATAAACCAGAGAATACGGAGTTGCCCCAGTAGATGTTTGAATCAATGTTCTGTAACCCTAAAGAGCAAATGGTAGCTTATCTGGCCAGTCCTTGTAGCTTTCCACCATCTTCTGTAGAATGTGCTTGATGTTCTTGTTGGCAGCCTCAACAGCTCCATTGGTTTGCGCCGATATATGGATGACTTATGAAAAGCCACGTTGTATTTCTCCAACAAGTCGATCACTTCCTTCTTGAAGTGAGAACCATTATCCGAAATAATCTCATTCGGGACCCTATAGCGACAGATAATGTTATTTCTGATGAACTTGGCTACGCGCGATGCTTTCAGCACTGTGTAGGATTGGGCCTCGACCCACTTTGTAAAGTAGTCTATCGCCACTAGGATATACTCATGCCCATTCGACCCCTTCAGAGTAACTGCCCCAATAACATCAATTCCCCAGACTGAGAATGGCCATGGCGAAGTCATGTTGTACAACTTTGACGGCGGGATATTCATGCGATTTACATGAATTTGGCATTTGTGGCATCGCCGAACAAAATCGATACAATCCTCCTCCATGGTTGACCAGTAATAACCCTGTCTGAGAATCTTCTGAACTAGCATCACCCTGCTCATGTGCGACCCACACTCTCCTCCGTGGATGGCATCCATTAGGCACTTCGACTCTTCTTTATCAACACACAGTTTATGCATTCCTAGATGGCCCCGTTTGTAGAATTTACCCTCGCAGATGATAAACTAAGCAGCCATTCGCCGTATTGCTCTCTTGTCTTTGGCATTTTCCCCTAGTAGATAAGCCTCATTTTCTAAGAAGTTCCAGATATCATAGTACCAGGGGTTCTGATCTTGTACTTTATCTATTGCGGCAATCAGCTCGTAGGCCGGCACATACCTTTGTTCAATAATGATCAGACGCATCCGGACTCCCAAAGGAATGTCTATCATGGAAGATAGAGTTGATAGAGCGTCTGCGAACCTATTGCTCTCTCTCAACAGATGCGTGAAAGTTAGCTTCTTAAACCTGGGAATCAAAACGTCCAGGGTTTGGTGATAGATTTTCATCATTTCTTAATTAACCTTCCAGTCTCCTTTCGCTTGAGACACAACCAGGTTCGAGTCCCCAATGACGTCCAAGCGTTTTGCCCCTAGTTCCAGGGCGGCTTCCAAGCCAACGATACACACCTCATATTCTGCTTCATTGTTTGACACTCTAAACCGTAGGTTGAAAGCTAAAGGTATGTGGGAATTGTCGGGTGCTATCAGCAACACCCCTATCCCATACCCGTACTGGTTAGACGCTCCGTCAAAGTCCGTAGTCTAAATCTCTTCTTCAACTTACATAATACCTTATCCGGGAATAGATACTCTACTGCTTCATCTCCCTCCACTGGGTGATCAGTTAGGAACTCCGCTACCGCTCTCCCTTTCACAGACTTGCGAGTCACATACTTCAAATCAAATTAGGAGAGAAGAAGCAACCAACGGGTTAGTGTAGACACACCCTTGAGGGCTTCATGCTACTACAGCTCGAACTCAAATGTCACGATTTTGAATCTAATCCCGCAAAGTGCAATGCGAGACCAATAAATCACCAAAGAGTCCAAATCCGGTAAATCGTTTTGGAAAACTGATTTTTAAGAAAGAAGTGCCAAACATGGACTGCTTTGCCAGATACAGAGTCACCACCTAAATATTTTAATTTGGAAAATTTAGAAAACCCTGACTCGTTGCCTAAGGCCACGTGTCCGTCATCACCAAAGTTGCCTCGGCTCGGGAACTTGGGTACGATTGGGGAAGGTCATCTATGAGCACCCCCGCTCGCCCGATCAAAGATCGGACACTACTAAACATGATATCTTGTTTTTGAAAACATATGCATTCTTATTCCGGTTATTAGCCTAGAATTACTATGTGATGCGCACAACACACAAGTATAGACTAGATCGCCTAAGTCAGAAATAAACATC